TTTAAAAAAGAATAATGCCTGCAACATGGCAAAGTGTCCAACCAACCCATGATAAACAAAAGTCTACCCTTTGCTACCTTATACTCAGGGACAACACTAATCCATTCATTCTTCTGACTTGGGTAATGTTTTTCTTTCTTTTCCTGAGAATTTGGTGTCACCTAAGAAGAGATTTACTTATTTATTTACATGTATGTGGGGTGGTGTTGGTGTGTGTGTGTGTGTGTGTGTGTGTGTGTGTGTGATATGGGTGCCTACAGAGGTCAGAAGAGGTCATGGTTATTCAGGGTAAATCAGTGGTATTTCTGTGAGCTGGAGTTAAGGCACTTGTGAGCCCATGGAAGCTGGGACCCACACTCAGGTCTTCTGGAAGAACTGTGCAGTATCTTTTCTTTGTTGTTGTTGTTGTTTTGTTTTTGTTTGTTTGTTTGTTTGTTTTAAAGTCAGGGTTTTTCTGTGTAACACCCCTGGCTGTCCTGGAACTAGCTCTGTAGACCTGGTTGGCCTTGAACTCACAGAGATCTCCCTGCCTCTGCCTCCCAAGTGCTAGGATTAAACGCGTGCACCACCATCGCCCAGCCAGCATAGAGTCTTAATCATCCCTGCCACTTCTCCAGCCCCAAATTAAAGGAATATTTAATTACAATTTCTCTTTGTCTTCTTTATCATTTAAACCACTTCTCAAACATGTCAACTGAACACCTGGAACATTTTAATAGGTGGATTTTACTTAGACGACTCCAACGAACAAGTGTGAGTGGATTTGTCGTAAGAAGTTCTGAGCCGCTGCACTTGGCTTTATACTGTGGTTACTGAAAGCAAATACTGTATCCTCATTTCCACACAGTTACTACAGATCACAGCTCCCTGCAGATGCCATTTGTAGGCACGACATCAGAGAAGCTAAAATGGGACAAACCGCAGTGTCTGGTAAAGGTTGTGAAAAGCATTTCCCGTAAACGTTAAAAGACTTTAAAAGTCCACGCACCTGGGGCCAGATAAATAAGGGGATTTCGGAAGGCCACAGCCAACATTTGTCTCCTCTAATATGGAGAAGAATTTTTATTTCCATTTTGAGAGGATGATGACCTTTATATTAAATATCAGGCTATAGGCAGGAGGGGGTGGTGGGGAATCATCCATTTGGAGAGCTCCCGTTGTGTGTGTAACAGCTCCTGCCAATGCAGTGCTTCTCAATCTGTGGGTTACGACCCCAAAAGGGGTCACATTTCAAACATCCTGCATACCAGATATTTACATTGTGATTCATAACAGTAACAAAATCATGGTTTTGAAGTAGCAACGAAATAATTTTATGGTGGGAGGTCACCGCAACATAAAGAACTATAGGTGGCAGCAACAGGTTTGCTCACCTGAATAAGGACAATAAAACAAAACAAAACAACAAAATCCCCAAACTTACACCCTGACATACTTTATTTTTTATTTGCTGTAGAATATTATCTGAAATTCTAGTGCTTTCTGGAAAGCTACGTTACTCATGGGCCACTCATCCGTAGTTTCCAGTGCTTGTTTTGTGGACGGCCTTGTGCCAGCTAGGACTCTTAGATTGTTAAACTCTGAGCTGAAGTTTGCTTGGAAGACGAATTATGCGATCCATTGGAAAACCAACAAAAAAGCAAAAGCTATTGGATAACTGAACTCCTCACTTCTAGCACATCTCATGAAATGATTCCCAGATGCATTGAGAGTCCTATTTTTTAAAAATGTGTGTTTGCATGTATGTGTGCGCGCATGCATGCACACATGTATATGTGTATACCTGTGCATATGGAGGCTAGTGAGAATGGGGCGATCTTGTGCTGTCAATCTGCCTTAGCCCCTTAAGACAGGGTCCCTCCCTGAACTCAGAGCTTGCATTCTTTTTCATCTTTGGCTGGGCTGGCTGACCAGCAAGTCCCTGTGATTGTTCTGCTTCTCAGGGCTGGGGTTACGCGAGCGCAGGACCACACCTAAGTTTTTCCATGCGTACTGGGGATCTGAACTCAGGACCTCAAGCGTGCACAGCAAGAGCCCCCACTCGCTGAACCACCTTCCCGGCCCTTGAGATATCTAGCCCTCCGGATTCTTAAGCCTATTGACTAGATGGTGTCCTCCAGCCATTTCCTCTACACTGAAACACTCCCTGTAACAAGGAGGAAGGACATTCATGAGATTCAGAGGGCAAACACCCTTCACACGTCTGGGAAAGGCGAAGCCTACAGCACTCACAGGGGCGCCTCCTCAAGGCTACAGAAGCAGCAAACACGTCTAGATTAAGGGAAGAGTAGGCAACTGATGTGTGGTGAGACTGACGCCGGGATAGCTGCCCGGAAGAGGTCTCTGAACTGTCCGTCCAGCTGCCTGAAGGTTGTTAGCTAGCTCGGGAGATACAGATGTTGTGAGTCGTCACCCATGCTAGGCTGGGCTCTTCAGTGATGCCTTTGAGTCATCCCTGCTCCTGGAAGTGACCCCTCACCCACACTCCTGTAAGGAACTCCAAAAAGCTCACAGGCTTACTAAGTCAGATTCAGAGTGACTCTGGTCTGTAGGGGGCTCCCAATCTGGGCGCGCAGACACATGTGTCCTGTGTCTCACTAGTAAGAAGGTCACATGATCATCATCAGCTCTGAGGGTAGAAAGGGCTTGAAACAATGTAAGATACGGCGATGAGAAAGGGTGATGAGAGCATATTAATGTTTCTGAGGATCTGTGTATTTACCATGGTCATAATTCATATTATCTCATGCAGTCAGGACCACAACAATATTGTCCACACTTTGAGATTGAAAGAATAGAGGCATGTGGAGTTAAGAAACTTAACTAAAGTCACGAAGGTAGCTGGGTGTGGAATTAGAATTGTTTCTGAGGGGTATGGGTAAGTCAGGATCTTGTTATGGAGACTTATAAGTCTATGGCCTTAGACTTGCAGAGATGCCCCTGCCTCTGCCTCTTCCTCCCAAATGCTGCTTGTTACTATTAATATTGAGATAGGGCCTTATGTAGCTATGTAGCTCAGGGGGGACTTTCACTAAGCTATATGTCATAGCTGGCCTTGAACTCCTAATCTTCCTGTCTCTATCTCCCAGGGGCTGAGATTATGGGCATGCGAAGGCTGCAGGAGAGAAAGGAAGGAAGGAGGCAGGAAGAAGCTGTTTAGTGGCGTCGGAACCGGCTTGGGCTGTGAGCGCAGGATTGAAGCACTTGCTGCTTATTATCTAAGATCACACCTGCACTCGGGCGCCTGTGGCCTCTCCTGGGAGTGAATGTGGAGAGAAACTTGTGGTGAAGTGTGCTGATGAAGGTTAATGCCAGGCAGGGTTTGGGGACTGTACTGAAAGTGTGGAGAAAAGGGACAAAATGAAGGATTCCACCCCCGGAGAGAGATGTGTACTGCTGTTTAGCCTCCTCCTGGTAGCAGTGGAGAATGTACCTCACCTTAGGGACTCAGGACCCCAGGAAGCTCAGGTACTTAGCCTCGTTTGAAAGATTATGGTGTCACATTCCCTCCTGTGTCTCTCGTCACCAGGGCAGGGGGTACAGTGTGTGTGTGCTGCTTTCTACTTGCATTTCAGACTGTCAAGTTTGTGCCATGGTTAAACGTTTCTAACATACTGCTGAGAAGGCCCGGAATGGTAGCGGATAAGGTGGCAATGCTGCAGCGGAGTGTGTTGAATAGTTTTACGTCAATGCGACATGAGCTCAAGTCATCTGAGAGGAGGGAGCCTCAACTGAGAAAATGCCTTCATGAGACCAGGCTACAGGCAAGCCTGCAGGCCATTTCATTAATTAGTGATTGAAGGGGGAGGGTTTAACCTATTGTGGGTGACACTATCCCTGGCTGGTGGTCCTCCTGGGCTGTATAAGAAAGGAGCTGAGCAAGCCATGAGGTAGTAAGCCAGTAAGCAGCATCTCCCCATGGCTTCTGCATCTGCTCCCCTCTCCAGATTCCTGCCCTGTTTGGGTTCCTGTCCTGACTTCCATAGGTGATAAACAGCCGTATGGAAGCGTAAGCAGAATAAACCCTTCCCTCCTCAGGTTGCTTTGCTTATGGCATTTGATTATAGCAACAGGAACCCAAACGAAGACAAGAAGTAAGGCCCGGTGTACAAAACAGCTGAATTAGAGCATTGTACCAGGACTCAGAAGCGTAAGCTGCCTTTCCACATTGGGACCCACAAGGGCTTGGAGAAGACCCATAAAAATCACAGCAAACTGACTGCCCCACGCCAGTCATAGGAGCTCTTGATTATTGGGGTGAACCCAGGAAGTCAAATAGCTCATGATCTGGTCCCTCCAGTAACACCAACTGGACTAGCACACAGACCTGATGCAGACGGCTAAAGAGTCAAATGAGACTGGAAGCAGCGGGCTTCTCACGTACAACCCTTAGAGGACATGCATCATCAGCGTGAGAGAAGGTAAAGGGAGGGGAGGAAGAGAAAGCAGAAGAAAGGGACGCCGAAAGCATGGGGAAAGAGATTTATGCATGCAGGCTCAACATCAAAGGCCAGAGCTCTCAGGGAACAGGAGCAAAGGCTTATTACTGTGTGACACCGCGGCCATTCATATTTAAAGTGGATAATGTAACAAACAAAAGATGAGGGACACAGCACCAAACACAAGGTTCTGAGAGTGAGGGAAAAATGTGCTAAGAAAATCCTATTGGGTTGTGGCTTTTTAATCTTTATTTTTGGGAAACCCCAGAGTTCACACAAGCATGGAGCAATTACATTTGCCCCAGTGCAGGGCCTACATCTTTGTGTGTGTGTGTGTGTGTGTGTGCACGCGCAGGCTTGTGCTTGATTTGGGTAGCACCATACTCTTTCTTCTCATCCAATACTGATGCTCTTAGTGCCCTCTGCTACATTCTCCTTCCTCTAGAATCAGCAGGTTTTAAGTGTTCAAATCCCGACTGAAGCGATGTGGATAGCAAAACGCAGAACCGGAAATGAATATGTACACCTTGCTGGGTCTGCGGACAACAGACAGCCTCTTACCTTTATCATAGATTTCCTTCAAGACCCCTCTCTTGATCAGCTCCTCTCTGCTCTGCCTCATCGATATCTTCCTTTCCAGAGCTGCAAGCAAGAGACAAGAGAGGTGGTGTGAACGGTAGCCGTTGTCCTCCTCCCTCCGAAGGATCCATCTGTTAATGGACACTGTGATCTTATGGAAGCCTATGAAGCACGTTTTGCTGATGGTAAGCCAATGACACCAGGTAATGTTTTAACTCTTCAAAATACTCTTCGAGTAACCTCTAAGGCAGGTTTGGTTATTGAATCTGAGGAATGACTTCTGACTCTGACTTAACGGTGGCAGATGCCTCTGCATGGAGAAGCTTCACATCTTATCAGCCGCATGACTACTTGCTAAAGCGACTGGGACTCTGAGCCTCTGTTTGGGGCTCTACCTCTCGGTCAGGGGCATGTCCCTGAGCACGGCAGCTCCTGTCAGACAGGCTGCGCATTGCGGCATCTCGGCATTTTACCAATCTGGCTCCTCACTGAGGGTCTCCTTGTTTTCCAATGTAAAAATTAAATAGAGGTACGTATTTGGATATTTATCTCTGGAAAAGTACCCTGTATTGGGGTAGTCCACAGGACCTTCAAGGGACTGAGGGGTGATGGGTAACCCGTGGAGATCTCTGGTTCACCTCTCCATGTAGCTGCATGTGGGAGAAGCCACATGAGGAATGCACTTTTCCCAAGCCAGGTGCTTCTCCAGCTGAGCCACATGTGTGGTAGGTGGGGCTAGAGAGGAGGAGAGAGTTCTCCTATGGGAAGAGTGGGCGTAATGGGGACCAGTGAAGGAAAAATAGACACAATGGGCCCACGGGAGGCATGCTGGGAGCCTCTGAAGGGAAGGAAAGTCCCTTCAGCACCTGCAATTTCATCTCTGGTAAACACGGGGCGGTGGGTGGGTATTTCAGTGGCTGTGTCAGCCTGAACATTTCTACATCCCTCAGGAGCGTAGCTACTTAGGGGTGACACGCTACTGGCAGAACGGAGGAGAAAAGGTGTGCACCACCAGTCCTAGCATTTTTATGGTGACATGAGCGGGGGACAGGAGAATCCATCGAAGCTGGTAAGCCAGCCAGCTAGTCGTTGGCACAGAGACAAACAATAGGAGATCCTGCTTCAAAAAAGGTGGAAGGCAAGGACTGATACCTGAAATTATCCAGGCTTTCCCTCTCTCCCTCCCCCTGTCAGTGTGTGTGTGTGTGTGTGCGCACACACACACACACACACACACACACACACACACACACAAGAGTCTACAGAGAAACTTGACTTCCCTTGTTAAAGTCTTACTGTTTACAATATGATGTCATGAGTGAGAAGACAGAAATCTTGGAATTTCTGCTCTTCCACTTGTGTTGTGTGTCTCTGAGCAGTTCGGTGTTAGCAGGCCTCAGCCACCTCACCTATAGAGTAGGAGTGATAAACACTCCCAGAATCCTGGTACGGATTAAGTTAATGACATTAACTTTCTACCTTTCTCAAATGCCATGTGCATTGTCCCTGTGAGCACAGAGTTCCGACCCAGCAAATGAACAGAGCCACAGAATAAATAAGTCAACCCTTAACTTGGAAGATTAATCCCATCTCTTGGGAGGCAGAGGCAGGTGGAGCTCTGTGAGTTTGAGGCCAGCCGGGTCTACAGAGCGAGTTCTAGGATAGCCAAGGCTACACAAAGAACACCTGTCTCAAAACAAACAAACAAAGTCCTAGGATTACAAGTGTGCACTATTGCATCCAGCCTTATGTAGGTTCTGGGAATCCTGATAAAAGTCCTTACACTTGTGTGACCAGTATGTCACCTACTAAGCCATCTTCACCTCCCTGAGGGCACGTTTACTTGGGGTGGAAACAACACAGGAAGTGACATCATTATTCTCAGTTGGCTCCTCCTTCTAAGGTGCTGTTCCCTATCTCTTTTCATTAGCTTTGCATAGAGCCTCTCCTCTTTCCTCTGCCAGCTGTCCTTAAGTGAGTGCTCAGCTTGAGCAAGGCCGAAGTCAGACCCATCGCTGCTCCAGTGTGCAGGGGAGCGAACCATTTGGTGCAGAAGGACCCTTCCAGCCTTGTGACCTGGTTTCTTACTCAGCTATAAAATGGGGCTGTGGGAGTAACGAAGAGAAGAGAGAACAAGGCTCCTCCTTCATCAACCAGTGCTGAGGCCCTTGGGCAGAGGGAGCAATAATGATGCTGGAACAAGTCATTTGCTAAGGGTACCAGAGTGGAGACCTATTTAGACTTTTTTTCCTCTCTAGGATAATCTCTCTCTGTTGAAGTCCCCGCTCAACTGTCTTTAAATTACATTCTGAAGGGGAGAGGCAGCTGAGAAGTGATGAAGTGGGCAGCGGCCTCATAGATTGTGCTACTTACATTCCCGAAAACAGTCGGCCTGCAATTAGAACCTGCAGCTTGGATCTTTTTAAATCGTCCAGCTCCAGGGAAAGGAATATTTAAGCAAAAAATTTGTGCGTGACAGGTAGAATCAAAGCTCCCAGAAGCTTTAACATCCCGTCCAGCTTCCCGTCCAGCTTCCCGCCAGCTTCCTGGATTATGGGGAAAGTCAGTATGATCTCAATAGCCATAGCCTAGAAAGACACCACAAACAAAACAACTAACCCATGCATTGAGATGAAGCACACCTGGGATCCAGCACTCTGGAGGCAGGTGCAGGAGTTTGAGGTCAATGGATGGAGGCTGTATAGTGACACCTGGTCTCAAAGCCACGAGCTTGGAATGCAGCTCAGTGACAATCGGTCAGGGCAAGGCCTTGGGTTTATAGTTTTATCTCCATCATAGTAAGTAAGATAGAAAAAAAAGGAAGAAAAAAGGAATGTGAGCACATGGATACATGACTGTCTTTTAGATGGCATGGTTTGATAAACACATTCAATGGTCACTCAAGTCCAAATGCAATTTGTACAAACACCTAATAACTCATCTCTCACTAAATTGGATGTGTAAGAGCTGAACATTTTTGCCAAGAGTCCAATTATGATTAGGTAGAGATGGTTTCAATTGCTTGGTTATCCAAGAAAGACCTTACTAAATCACTCATTCACTATGTGAAAAGGCCCCTTTCTACCTGTCAACGTGGGCCAAGCAAGCCTCAGCATGAACACGCCTAGTGGTTTTCTCTGCTAGGTGGATCGCGTTGGTTGGTGATTTGCTTCCAGAACAACTAACTGATCATGTTGCACATGATAAAACTTGTAGGGAGTGAAACTGAGGTGGAGGAATTTGGGCGACTGGGAGGTGTACCTTTGAAGGAGACATTGGGGTGTCAACACCCCTTCTTTGTATTTGTTTCTCAAGTGCCATGATAAAGGCGATTTTGGGCCACTACATACTGCCTGTGATAAGATGATGAACTGCCACAGTCCTGAATAGGCAAGCAATCATGGACTGAAAAAAACTCTGACTCTAAAACAAATCTCACCTGCTTTCCAGTGGATTTTCTTGAGTGGTCTGTTGCAGTAATAGAAAGCTAATCCATTTAGTAATCCCATCCCACGGAGCAGATGAGGGGTAAGCATTCTCGTCACATAACCAGCATAGGCATTAGTGACTGCCCTGTCAGGGCGATCTTACAGCCCTTACCACAGTTTCACAATAGCAACTTCAGCAGAATTTCTGGTGTGCCCATGCAGGGATCCAATAATCCATTGTGGTAGTTTGAATAAGAATGGCCCCCATAGGCTGATCTCTTTGAATTCTTAGTCACCAGGGAGTGGAACTGTTGGAAAGGATTAGAAGGAAATTAGGAGGTATGACTTGTTGGAGGAAATGTGTCATGGGGTAGGCTTTGGGGTTTCAAAAGTCCACAGGAGGCCTAGATTCTTTCTTTACTTGCTGACTGCAGATTAGGATGTAAAGATCTCAGCTACTTCTCCAGGGCCATGTCTGTCATCAAGCTCCCTGCACTGATGATAATGGACTAACCCCCTGAAACTGTAAGCCAGCCCCCAATTAAATGCTTTCTTTTATAAGGGCTTTGTGGTTCTGGTGTCTCTTCAAAGCAATAGAACAGTGACGAAGATATTCATCCTCTTACTCTCTTTCTGTGTCTTCATAAAAAGTCACATGGTGTCACAACAGTTCCGTGACTCAGCCACCTTCAGGGATTTCTCATCAGACTTGAATGGTCCTCACATACTGATAAAACTATCTGAATCATTGCCCTAAATACTAGACCAACTAGCCTTGGCCTTGAGAAAGATTCGTTTAACCGGAAGCTACAGACACACCCAGGCAGAACAACCCTCTTCTCTTTTTTTCTTTGTAAAGAAATAGTCATACTCTGGCTGTTCTTATAATACAGGCTTTGGACCAATTGTCTAGGGCTCAATGCTTCTTTCTTTGAAATCTTAACTAGTTCCATGCCTGGAAGGGCCATCTCTGGTGGGAACCCTCCTGTAGTTATTTTCAGGGAATTTCAGGTTTGGTGGGATGGTGCCAGAGGCACAGGAAGAAAACAACTTATCAAGGTAGTGACCCAACTACTGTATTTGCATTATTATTATTATTATTATCATTATTATTATTGGTGGTGGTAGTAGCAGTAGTAATAGTTGGGTCAGTTCTTCATAACCCACAAGGTCAGAGATGAGACTGTTTATTTACTGTTTTTTCACAGTGAGATTTAAATCATCTTCGTCCATAGAGTCTAAAGTCTTTATTGCAGAATAATGTTGCCCACAGATACTCAACAAATGAGTATCAGTTACTCAACAGATGCAAGCTCAGATAAAAAAGAATCAGAGAAAAATGGTGTCTGTACAGGACATGTACAGACCCTTTCCCTCTCTATTTTCTTTGACAGTCTGATTCATAATACATTTTAGTTGTATTCACCTCCCATTCCCCTAACCACTGAAACTATTCTCTCCAACATGCCCCCACCCCTATTTTCAATGCAGATTTCCTTTGCTTGCCTGACCACCACTCACCAAGCAATACTCTAAAATCCCCAATGCAGACAGCATTTCCATTGTAGTTACTATCGTGTGCCATCTAATCATGGGGCTAAGAGCTCAGCAACACACCCACGTGCTCTATGAAAG